TATAAGAAGTACCATTTACAACATTGCTATCACCCAAAAAGTACTTTTGGCCACTTACTATGACTAGTTCTGCATTTGTTGGTTTAGACACATTTGTTATTTTTTAATTTATAGTTGTTCATTTTTCATCGGAAAAGTTTGGCCTTCCTACATATAAAAATAAATTTGATACAACAAATATCGGGAACAAAATCAGGCACTTCATCTTTCTTAAGGCACGGATCATAGGATGTTTACAAAATAAATACAATTTGACTAGATACAAGGAATTGAAAAGTAATAATTATATCAAATAGTCTTTTAGCATACATTAATTACAACATACACATTGAAATTAACCACAAATGATCTGTGTATAGAAAATTCCTTAAAATTGAACAACAAAAATCATGTTTTCACATAGAAAACTTATGAACGAATTGATATTTTGCACAAATTTTACAAAGATAAAAACTTTCAAAAGTACATAAATCTTTATACAATATTTGTAATGAGCAATATTTGTGCATTTATAAATAACAAATTAAATTTGATAAGGTCTGTTTTGTAATTAACAATACTAAGTATCCATTATTAAAAAAAAATATTAATTCATCAACAATAATTAAATAAAATGTAATATTATTGTAAATATTCATAGTACATAATATCAAAAATGTATGATGTTTAAGAGTTGTGTGTGTATATATATACTGTATATGTGAATAAAACATGTTTTGAACAATTACAAAAAAGCCTTTTTTACAAAATAAAACATTTTTAAGATAAAAATAAAATTGTAGATTTATCATTTATTGTAAACACTTGTGCACTTATTGAAGACAAAGTTGTTAATTTCTTTTTCTATCTGAAAAAAGCAACAACATTTAAAAATATAATTCTAAGTATGTTTTTTTTAATCTACGAACTAATATTTGTATATTAGGAAAATATTATGATGATAAATGGTTTATCAACAATCAGGTTAAAAACATCTATCAGTAAATATACCAGTAATTTGATATTTTTAATGGTAAATTCAGTAAAAATTTAGTACACACACAATTTTTTTAAGTGAAATTTTTGTCTTCAACCTTTTCTATTTAAACTGTAACAGTAGTTTGTTGATCATCTTTTAAATTATTACTTTATAGTCCTTTACAAATTTTGAAGTGTCCAATCTGGTGCTATTGTAATATGATAATTTGTTTTGTAACATCTAGAGTGCAGTAACAATTTTAGTTAACAAAAACAGAACACATTTATTTGAATGAAAGTAATTGTGCTGACCAATTTTTACTCAGATCATCCTGTAATTTTTTAGTTGCCGCATCTTTCAGGCAATGAAACTGTTGAATTCCTGACTTCTGTTTTGAAAAGCAATTGGTCATGGAGCACTACAGATTATTTAGTTGCTAAATCAATAATAAGTTGTCAACTAAACAATCACTAGTGCACTAATTTTTGTATTTGGAGTCAAAACTTAATCATTATTATTATTATTATTATTATTATGTGTAGTTTTTAAGATTAGGGATTGTAAATTTACCATTTCCATAATCTAATATTTTAAAAATAAATTTTAAAGTATAATTCATATTAAACTGTCAGAGACTAGAAAGCTAAGTTAAATTTGTTATCAGATGTTTTTGGTTATATACAGAAAAATACCAATATCTATTCACAAATATTTGTCTGACATTAATGACATTCATGACTTCCTGTCTACAGCTCTCTCTCAAATTTTTTTTCCTTTAATGTAAAAACAACCTAAAACAAAATTTTATTTGTTTAAATGGCAATTATTTTGATATTTTTAAATGTTAAAAATGAATAGCTTTATTTCATTTTTGTATATGTAAAACTATCAAATACAATTCATACTTACACCACTGTATTATATGAATTTTTTGTTATCTGGCTGTTTATCCAATACATATATTTAAATTTGTATATTATATGTATTTTATGTGTGTATATAGGNCTTTTGCACCTTCACATTTAATAATACAATAAGGATCACAGGCTGTAAATTTTAATAACATAAATGTTCAAATATTTTAATTAAATCCTTATCTTAGAAAACAACACAACTTACATGCAAATAAATCTCTTTTTTCCAAACCAGTAGCTTTTCTAATTGTAATTGCTGTGATGGCACAAGGATATGAAATACATGGAAAGAAACTATGTTTGGGCATTTCTTTTGTCATTTTTCTGTAAATATATGAAATGATTATTGGAATAATTATGGCAAATTACAAAACTAAATAGTAGGTTTTAAAAAATTGCTTTAAAATTAATGTAAAATTCTATGAAGTGTACAAATCAGCTAAAAACAGAACTTATTAATTTTATTGATATTAGAGACAATGTAATTCACATGCTTTCTTATAGTCATTGTGAACTAATATAAAAATTGACAACTTCCATTCATTAAATATTTTGTAAGAATGAATCTGAACTAAATTTGATTACATTTTAGATTTCTCTGAATACATTCAGCAATATAAAAATATTTTTAAGTTTGTACAACATATTACAATTCAATGTTGACATGTATTTTATAATTTTCATAACACTAGTATATTGGACCAAACAAATAATAAATAGTAGGACACCATTGAAAAGAACATATAGGTATGAAAAGAGAAACTTTTAACTACATTATAATTATTAGAAATTTGAAAAATCTGTAATCTAAAAGTAGCATTAAAAATTGAATAATACTGAAGCCAGGGGGAAAAACACAGCTGTGGTTTGAATGAAACATCTTTTGTAAATTATATGGTAAAGCTTTTCATCCCATAGTTATTTTTTCAAAGTGTATATAACAAAGTACTTTTGAATACTTTGTTATATACAAAATGGTATAACAAAGTGGTTACACTTTGTTATACCATATGAAATAACAAAGTGGTTATATTTAAAGGACAGTCACACTATAGATCACAGATTGACACACTGATACCCTTTATTCTATATTTCTTTTTCTTTAAAATGTACATTTCAAAGTCCTCTTCAGCTAGAGTAAATGCTATCATAGGAAAAAAAATTTTTCCTCTATGTTACATTATATAAAAAATAAAAAGTTCCAGCCTGTTCCAGCAAAAATTTTTAATTTTCTAATGTTTTCAGCTACCTATGCATCCATCATCAGGAACAAACATATAAAATTTAAATTCAACAAACTATTCCTTTATAATGTTCCAAATATAGATCATACAATTGCAATAACATAAACATGCTTCTGGAGATATGCACAAGGGTATAAGTTAAAAAAACATCCGGTCCATTTAACATTCCTTGCTGCTCGAATGATCCTCACAGATACAAAATGGCCGCTTTTAAAGCCCTTATCACAAAGGCTTACACACACTGCACAAACATAAAGGACACCATAAGAGAGTTGAACAGGATTAGAAACATAGCAGCCACTCACAGATACAGCCAAAGTACCATCAACACCTTAGTTAATAGATACAAGCAAAGAACATCCCCAATGACGAGGACCCAATAGATCCTTCCACAGTCCCAGGAGTATACGAAATACTCTTTACTCTAGGTCTAGAAAACAGGGTCAGCAAATACATAGAATACATATCCCGAAATCTGCCTACCAGGCTCAAAGAGCATCAGTATGAGGTATACAAAAGCAAATGGCCTTTATGCACATCATACTGATGCTCCAAACACAACCCTGGCTATTATGGCAACACTTCTGGATAATGTACCATATTTCACAGGAGCAAAACTCATTAAATCTCCAGGAACCAACACTCTGGGAAAACTCTAGAAAAAATAGCCATATACAAAAATACTGTTAACTAAAAACACATGTATTAACCATAAGGATTCAGCAAGCTTATCAGCAGCATGGAAATTTCTTATTCACTGTGACAGGAACAAAACTACACAATAATAAACACTAGATTCATTGATTATAAAACCATAAATTACTATTGTTAATAATATACCTTTAAAAAAAATACATCATGTATTATATAATCTAGCTTGATACTCTGCCAAGTAATGAAAAGTAGGATGAAAAGTTCACTGAGTATGGTGTTAATGGTCTTTTCTTGCTAGCGCTTCAACAAATTTATTTTCGTTGTCACTTTAAAATCGAACATAAATGTTTAAATTAATATGAGTTCCATTCTCGTTCAAACATTTATGTTCGATTTAAAAGTTTTTATTTGCCTGACAACAACAAAAATGAATTCATTGAAAGCGCTAGGAAGAAAAGATTATTAATAATGCCGTACTCAGTGAACTTTTCGTCCTGCTATTATGTATTATATATTTTTGTATACTTTATTATTATTATTTATTTATTTATTTATGTTATTGCAATATAAATTCAACAGTGTTCCAAATATGGATGTCACTTATCCATATTTGGAACACTGTTGAATTTAAATTTTAAAAACTATTCCTTTATATGTTCATTCCTGATAATGGCTTCATAGATAGCTGAAAATGTTGAAAAATTAAAAATTTTTGCTTGAACAGACTGGAACTTTAACAATAAATTTAACATATTTAAAAATAAAAAGTAATTATTATTCTTTGCTTTTTGTTGGGAAAATTTAATTTTGTCCAGTAAAGTTTTATTTTAATGAAAGCAAAATTATCAAAGATTTATACAGTACTGTATAGGCATTCTGTTTTGCTTTGATAAGGTCAATATTTTTTATAAAAAGAAAGCAGTTGATGCAAAACTTTCATAAGTATTGGCTGAACAAGAGAACTATAAAGATTACACAAACAAAAATTATAGTTCAGCTTTTAAGATAATCATAACTAAATCCAGTTTATAAAAAAAATTAATTAGTAACCTTAGTCTGGCAATATGAGTGGTTATAGTAGCACTAAACAAAAATGGAACTGACAGATTTCACATTTGTTATTATAATTTGACATTACCTAATGTGTACATCATTACCCAATTTAATATATTTTCAAGTCAGATTAAATTAAGAAAAACTTATATTTTATAATTAACTAACTTTACAAACCTCATAATTCCTTCAATACATCACTGGTTATAGCTGTCACTTCAAGTTTTCCTGGTCTCGTATCTACACAATTTTTCTGTTCATACAAAGACAATGAATAAGAAATTGTATCATTTGAAGACACAGGTGCTTCTACTATAGCCAATCCCATAAATGTGTCTTTTAATATATTGTGATTCCAAATCTGAAATACATTTTAGCATTTAAATTATGAAATAATTAAATGTTACAAAAACTAATATTAATCCTTAATCATTTATAATTAACTTAACTGCCTACATCTATAAATGAATAAAGCATGTTTATGGTGAACATTGTTTAGGCCAAACAACAGTCAATAATTGGTGCAAGAGTTGCAGAGAAGACCAAATCAATTCAGGATAAACAGACCAGGTCAGGCACACACCATAATTTCCACTACATCAATCACCACTGTGGATGACAATCAGAACTAATGGATGTGTTAATTTGTATATAGTCACATAGTCCTGACCTGTTGTCATGCAACTTTCACATTTTTGGACCTCTCAAAAATGTTTGTAAGGGCAAAGATTCTGGTGGTATTTGGTAAAATAACTGATAACATTTATTAGGTTGTTCGAAAAGTAAGTTCATTTTCTTTACCACTAGACGATTAGTCGTATTTTTCTCGCCATTTTCATTGTAAACCATATTATCATTATATATTTTGACAGCTAGCATTTTAAGGCTTATTTGTAAAAAATTTTGTTTGATTTTGTGCAATTGTTTATTTTTTGTGTCCCATCAAATACGGAAGATCAAAAGCAGCATTTTCAGCATACTTTGCTCTTTTATTACCAAAAAGGTAAAAATCCTGTTCAAGCGAAAAAAAAAAATTATGTGATGTATATGGAGAAGATGTATTGACAGAATGACACTACCAAAACTGGTTTACAAAATTTCATTCTGGCAATTTCAATATTGAAGATGCACCACGTTCTGGATGGCCAGTTGAAGCCAATGAAAATAAAATAAAGGTATTGATTGAAGCAAACTGCCGAATAACAACACGTGAAATCGCTAAGAGATTAAATCTGTCAAATTGAACTGTTTATGATTACTTGAAACAAATTGGTTTCATTTCAATGCTTGATATATGGGTTCCACATGTTCTTAAAGAGAGATGCTCTCTTTGGTGGGATTTAAAGAAATATTTTTTTTTGGAGCTTTTATCAGACAATTTAACAATTGATTCGAAAGTGTACTGCCATTGAGTAAACAAATTGAGTAATATCATCAAACAGAAAAGGCAACCAGAATTGATCAGCAAAACAGGTGTAGTGTTTTACCACGATAATGTCAAATTTCACACAAGTTTGGTAACTGGTCAAAAGCTGTTATAACTTAGATGGGATGTACAGTACTATCACACCAACCATATTTGCCAGATCGAGCACACTCAGATTATTACTTGTTCTGGTCTATACAAATTTTTTTTTTAACTAAGACATTTACTTGAAATGACAGTGTCAAAAATCACTTGGATCAGTTTTTTGTAAGCAACGATCAAAACTTTTATGAATGTGAAATCATGCTACTATCAGAAACGATGACAACAGTTATTTGACCAAAATGGTCAATATATAATTCAATAAAATATTTATTAATTATAAAAATATTGCGTTTTTTTCCATGGAAAAAAGTACTTTCCGAACAACCAAATATATTCATTTGTACTTTCCGAACAACTCAATATATTCATTCACTTCATTTTTATGCAATAGCGAAACAATAAATTCTAGCTGATTTAAAAAAAAAATTTCTTTATCCATCAACCTGCATTGAAAATATTGCATATTATACAGCTAAAGTGAAACTTTGAATAAAGTAAGAAGAAAATTAAACAAGATGGATAAAACCTGAATTTTAAGTTTTATTGTTTTTCTTCTTGTGACTTGGATAAAATGCATTTTATAGAGATAAATTACAACAAAATTAACAGATTGTTACTTGCTTTAACAAAAGACAACGTCAATGTTTATTACTTAATCTAACTTTATGCATTTTAACTATAGCATATATAAGCTGATGTTGACCTAATCAATTTTTCTGTGTCTGAAAATAGGTAAGTACATTAAAATATAGTGGAACCTCGCTTAACAAGCATAATTCATTCCAGAATCTTACTCATAATGCGAAACACTTGTTAAACGAAACAATTTTTCCCATATAAATTAATGTAAAGTATGCATTCCATGCATATTTAATGTAAATGTAATGTAAATGTCTAATGTAAATGTAATGTAAAAATGCATTCCATGCCGAAAAAAATACTCAAATATTTTATGTATAATGTTTATTCAAAGAAAATTGTACAATCTACATTGTTAAGTAGCATGAATCATCATCATTTTTTCTTCTAGCACAGAATGAACTAACCTAGAGTGTAAATTTGATTTGCAGGAAAAAAAAAAAAATCAGATATGTCTGATAAACACACCAAACAAAATGCCAAATTCTTAGGCTAGTAAAGGCTATAATTAAATATTAGAAATTAATTAATTCGACTAGAGGTAGACAGTTATGTTGCCATCTCGTATTAAATTTAATAATTATAAATAATTAATTTTTAATTTAGACATTTCTAAAATTTAATTTGGAATTGGTCATTAAATTTAATATTAGATGGCAGCATAACTCTCTATCTCTAATCAAATTAATTAATTTCTAATATTTAATTATAGTTTTTACATAGCCCAAGAATTTTGCATATTGTTTGGCATGTTTATTATATAACAGGGTATGGTTGTTGATGTTTATACATAATGTGTGTGAACACAAGCAATACTAAGATTCTAGCGAGACGAGTGCTAAACATAGACTGATGGAGCACACGCACAATCTGGGACTTCACCTCTCCTTATCACTCATTATGCAAAAACGTCGCTTGTTAAGCGAGGCAATTTTTTACAATTTGTTTTGCTCGTTATGCAAGGTTCTTGTTAAGTGAAGTTCGACTGTATTTTCTGGCTTAATAATAATGTTGATTTCATATGTAATTTCAGAATGCATATTCACCATTTGATGGAAAATTAAAAACATGATTTTGAAATATGCATATTTTGGTTGGTTAATACAACTCAGTATTTATATTACATTGAGAATAAAACTAGCTTTAACTAATTTAGCTCATTTAATAATAATAAAACAATTTAATCAATTTAAGCAAGGCAGTTTCTGCAAAAAAGCAAAGATTTTAAAATGTATATTTTATATCAACAGAAATATTAATATAATTACATGTAAACCAATCAAAAAAATTCCTGAATTTCTCCACAACACCGTATTAACGCAAAATTAATCAACCACAAACCTTTACGGTGCGAAATTAAATACAAAAATCCTGTTAAAAAGTTCCCACAAACGTTTTCGAACCCACTTAGGTTCTTCTTCAGGTGAAAAAACTTAAATACTTAAAAAACATTCAATGGAATCCAAATTTGAATGAGAAACGATCAACTAATACGATGAATTNTGTTTACATCGGTAAAATACGCATGCGTATTGATGAAGACAGCGGCAGAATTCATCGTATTAGTTGATCGTTTCTCATTCAAATTTGGATTCCATCGAATGTTTTTTAAGTATTTAAGTTTTTTCACCTGAAGAAGAACCTAAGTGGGTTCGAAAACGTTTGTGGGAACTTTTTAACAGGATTTTTGTATTTAATTTCGCACCGTAAAGGTTTGTGGTTGATTAATTCAAAAAAATTCCTTTGAGCAACAACACAGTTCAAAGATGTATTGATGAAATGAGTTATGATATTGAAAGCTTCTTGTGTAATTTATCTGCAAATGACCCATTTCTCTATACAACTGGACGAGTCAACTTTACCTGATAATAAAGCATTATTTTGGCATATGTTTGTTTTGTTATGGACCAAGAAATCCATGAAGAACTGCTCTTTGCAAGAATTTTGACAACAGACACTAAAGGCAAATCAATATGTAATGTTTTGAGAGACTATTTCATGGAAAAAGCGATTCCTTTATCAAATATAATATCAGCAGCAGCAGATGGAGCAGCGGCCATGTTTGGGTGCTATCGGGAATTTATAAGCCATTTAAAACAAAATGTACCTGGGGTGCAATACACCATCATCCATCAACAACATTTAGTTGCTAAAAATCTGAGTGGTACATTGCATCAATCTCTTCAATTTGCCATTAACACAGTAAACAAAATTCGAAGAATGCATTGAATACTAGGTTATTTGTGCAGCTATGTGAAGAAAATGAGGAGAACTTTTATTGATTGCTCCTTCACACTGAAGTACACTGGCTGTCAAAAGGCTTATGTTTGACCAGATTATTTTCACTTTTTGAGACAGTTTTAGAGTTTTTGGATGGTAAATTTTCTTTTAAAATTGGATCTTTAAGTGGAAACCAGACATTGCTTATTTAACAGATTTTTTTCACTAAATTTAATGAGGTTAACTTGCAGTTACAAGGTGACAGTCTAAATTTGATAAAAACAAAGTCCATCATTTCAGCTTTTCTTGTCATAATTAAACTAATGAAGCAAAATATTGGATGGCACGAATTTTCCCAGTTTCCCAATTTGTCACAGACAGACAGCCAGGATAGGATGATGATGTTTCAACCTACGTTCAACATTTAAATATGCTTCACACAGACTTTGAAACTAGGTTTGAGGATGTTTTGACTATGGAAATACCACAGTGGATTATCGATCCATATGGTGATATTGAAGAAATGGATGTCATATTACAAAAAGAATTGTTCAGAATAAGCACTAACGAAGAACTTAAAGTACAGTTCAGAAAGGGTTATCAGCAATTTTGGCTTCAGACACATACCTATTACTTATCCTGCATTATGGACTATCGTAAGAAAGTTTTTGATAGCTTTTCCATCTTCATACCCCATGGAAATGGGTTTCAGTACAATTGCCAATCTTCTTACAAATAATAAAAAAAAAAGTTTAGAAATCACTGATCGAGGAGATTTAATGTTATAGCTCACTAAACAAGCAAAATATTGAAAATTTGCTATTAAAACATCAAAAATCCCTCCCATTAAAAGCATTTATTTTTTGTGTAGTTATTTTATGCTATAATTTTACTAGATTTGCATTTTGTGTCATTTTAATTAATAAATGTATAAAATTTAATGTGTTTTGTTTTAACTTTTCAACTCTACAGTTAAACCTATCAAAGTGAGTAGCAGTGTGTCAGCTGTCAAAAACACATTTGAAGTTGATGAATTTGTAACAATTCAATATTAGAAATATGGGGGTCTACTCAAAACAAAAAAAATTGGCACGTGGTTTACGAGACAAAAAAGTTTGGGGACCTCTGCTTTACAGCAATGAAAGAGCAAGAATTCATAGCCTATTAGCATTATAATCAAGTCATGTGTCTTGCTCATCAACCAGACTGGCTAAACCTTCTAAATAAAATTTTAAAAATTCTGTATTTTGTTGGACAGATTATAAATATATAGTAACAACAAATGCTAAACACAAAATATACTTGACATTAGAAAAAGAGAGAGAACTGAAGATAAGGCTACCATAAGTGTCTTTGGTGGTTTCCACAGAAAAAATTCACAAATGGCAGATAAATACATTCAGCATAAAAGATTTTCACAATTTTTAACAATGATCTTAGTAAGTTTAGATAAAGGAAAAGCTGTTGGATGGGCTCATGACTATTTTAAATTTACAAATAACCTGTAGCAATATTAAATTTGCACCAGCTTTCAACTTCAGTTTAAAACAGGTAATCTGCAGTTTATTTGCAGGAAATCACAGTACTTAAATTTGTATCTAATTTTTTTTTAAGACTAACTGCACAAAACCAGACATTTCTTAAGTTTGAAAAGTCATTCATATAGTTGATCTCTCTCCATCAATCATAGAATAATCAATCTGTGGACAAAACTGACATTCTTCTTTCAACATGATATAGAAAATACAGTTTTTTGCATTTTTGCTTCATTTTTGTGAAAATAAATTGACTTTTTGATGATTTTATAATTTTTTCTGCACTGAGTAAATCAACAAAACTGATACTTAACCATACTTACTTCTTTTGCATTTTGGAATGCAAATGAAATGTACGGAAGCTTCAATTGTGACAGCTCTCTCTCAAAGCAACAGAAAAATATAATTCATAAATATATGTATATTAGATTATTATTGATTCTATATATAGGTATGCCTCACCTTACGTTGGTAATTGATTCCAGGAGAGACGACGTAAGTCGAATTTACTTGTCACTAGGCTAAACCACAAATACTATTCCCAGTTCTGCATTTTATTTATAAATGCATTTTTAATAATATATGATTAATAAGAATCTATTTTAAGCTTAAACAAATAAATTTTAGTTTTTAATATAGTACAGGAAAAAAAGTAATCTAAATTTACAATACTTGTAAATATACATGTTTACATTTGGTGATGTTTACAATACATTGCAGACTCTTTATTTGTGAATGTATTTTGCTCTAAGACATTATAAAATAAGATGATTTTGTAAGGTTAAATAACAAATACACTTATTAAAATTATTTTGCAATAATAAAAAATAAACTAATTTATGTTAAATTTACCAATAATGAGTGGCGCTGACAATAATGCCAAACAATAGATATTAGAACTACCATGGAAAATGCCAATATTGAGCTCTTAAAGACCGCTAAATAAGATGACAACACAGAGTCGCAGATGTTATCATATTTCATTCTCTATGATTTATGATGATTATATTAACATTTACTGTAAATGTATGCATTTTAATATGATTTTGTGTGCTTTTAACACTTTTCTAGTGATATTACAATTTCAATATTTGTGGCAGACAGACAAAGTCAAATAAAATGACTTAAACTTGATTTTTATTTTTCCATATATTTTTTTGACAAATGATGTATAATCGAGAACAACGTAACTCGAGGTATACCTGTAACTGATCAGATTTTTTAACCTAAATGCAATAATTACTTATAGGGTTATTTAGGAATAATATATAATTATTTAGGGTTAAAAGTTATATTTAGATACAGATTGAAAGAAATACATATTTAATAATTTTTTCCATTCAACTGTTCATAACAGTAAAACATGAAGCTTCGATTATATGTACAAGGTAATAGTATTATACGGTGGAACCTGGCTTAATGAGCACCTCACATAACAAGCAAAACAAATTTGTAAAAAATGACTCGCTTAATGAGCAACATTTCGCATAACAAGTGATAAGAAGAGATGTCCCGAATTGTGCGCATGCTCCATCAGTCTGTTTAGCACTTGTTCTGCTAGCATCTTAGTATTGCTTGTGATCACACATTTTTCCAAACTTGTGTTCACACATATTACATATAAACATCAACAACCATAGCCCATTATATAATAAGCATGCCACATGATAAGCCAAATTCTTGGGCTATGTGAAGACTAGTCAAATTAAACAATTTCTAATATTTAATTATAGAGGTAGGCAGTTATGCTACCATCTCGTATTAAATTTAACGATCAATTCCAGAAATATCTAAATTAAAAATTAATTATTTATAATTATTAACTTTAATACAAGATAGGCAGCATAACTGCCTATGTCTAGTCAAATTAATTAATTTCTAATATTTACATAGCCCAAGAATTTGCATATTGTTGGCGTGTTTATCAGACATATTATCTGTGATTTTGTTTTGTTTTCTGCAAATTGAATTTGCATTTCAGGTTAGTTCATTCCAAGCTAGAAAAGATGATTATGATGATTCACGATCCTTAACAATGTATATTGTATAATTTTCTTTGAATAAACATTATACATAAAATATATGAGTATTTTTTTCAGCATGGAATGCATTCTTGTATTTTACATTAATTTATATAGGAAAAATTGGAAAAATTGTTTCGCTTAATTAGTGTTTCACATTAAGGTTCTGGAACAAATTATGCTCGTTAAGCGAGGTTCCACTGTATATCATTTTCCTTGCAAAACTAACTAAAAGATCAATATATGTGATACTAAAACACAAATAGTACATAATGATCAAATGGAATCAATTATACTGGAAACTAAATACTTATATAAAAACATTCAAAATATGTAAATCTATATTAAATTATTTTGTATCATAAATTTTGTATATAATATAGTACATTAATCATATTCTAGAGTCCCACAAACTTGACTTAATATGAACTGAGAAGGTGATAAGTTACTGAAAATGATGATTTTTACAGATAGCAATGATACTAATCTAAATAGCAGAATTTTTGTAAAGATATTGTATGTACAAATTCATATAGGTATTAACTACATATCAATAGCGACTATTTCTATTTGAAGTTAAATTTTGTATTTTTTTTAATGACATCACAAGCTTTACAGAATGTTGAGTTTTCAAGACTCTACTGTACTTAAAACTTATTTTTAACATACATATAGATTAAATTGTACAAAAGTTATGTATAAAAGGAACAAGAAATTAACTTTGTTATTGAAAAGTGACTATTCAGGTTTTTACAAAATTTTAGATGTTGTAAAAATTTGGATTAGTATAAAAGACAGCACTTTCAAATTATCAAAATTGAATAATGAGCTAAAATTCAGTTTGAAAATCTTGGTCTATATTGTATGATTTTAACTTTATTTTCTACAAAAATTACTCTAATATTTTAGATACTTACTTCGATTATAATAGGATTTTGAATTTTTTTACGATAAAAAATTGCACTAAAATTCCATTCCGGATTCAATGTCTTGCAACAAGTGTGTGTTCTAACTTTTGCACCTTCACATTTAATAATACAATAAGGATCACAGGCTGTAAATTTTAATAACATAAATGTTCAAATATTTTAATTAAATCCTTATCTTAGAAAACAACACAACTTACATGCAAATAAATCTCTTTTTTCCAAACCAGTAGCTTTTCTAATTGTAATTGCTGTGATGGCACAAGGATATGAAATACATGGAAAGAAACTATGTTTGGGCATTTCTTTTGTCATTTTTCTGTAAATATATGAAATGATTATTGGAATAATTATGGCAAATTACAAAACTAAATAGTAGGTTTTAAAAAATTGCTTTAAAATTAATGTAAAATTCTATGAAGTGTACAAATCAGCTAAAAACAGAACTTATTAATTTTATTGATATTAGAGACAATGTAATTCACATGCTTTCTTATAGTCATTGTGAACTAATATAAAAATTGACAACTTCCATTCATTAAATATTTTGTAAGAATGAATCTGAACTAAATTTGATTACATTTTAGATTTCTCTGAATACATTCAGCAATATAAAAATATTTTTAAGTTTGTACAACATATTACAATTCAATGTTGACATGTATTTTATAATTTTCATAACACTAGTATATTGGACCAAACAAATAATAAATAGTAGGACACCATTGAAAAGAACATATAGGTATGAAAAGAGAAACTTTTAACTACATTATAATTATTAGAAATTTGAAAAATCTGTAATCTAAAAGTAGCATTAAAAATTGAATAATACTGAAGCCAGGGGGAAAAACACAGCTGTGGTTTGAATGAAACATCTTTTGTAAATTATATGGTAAAGCTTTTCATCCCATAGTTATTTTTTCAAAGTGTATATAACAAAGTACTTTTGAATACTTTGTTATATACAAAATGGTATAACAAAGTGGTTACACTTTGTTATACCATATGAAATAACAAAGTGGTTATATTTAAAGGACAGTCACACTATAGATCACAGATTGACACACTGATACCCTTTATTCTATATTTCTTTTTCTTTAAAATGTACATTTCAAAGTCCTCTTCAGCTAGAGTAAATGCTATCATAGGAAAAAAAATTTTTCCTCTATGTTACATTATATAAAAAATAAAATATATACTTTTTTGAAATATTTCATTTCTTATTTAATTTAATATTATAATTTTTCATATTCAAACAAAATTTATAGTTTGGAATTAAAGAAAAATTTTATTACTTAAAAATGTAAAATCTAATATAGTGTTTCCAGATATGAATTTCCTTTATACAAAGTTACAGAAAATATATACTACTGAATAATATTTATTTTTTCCAATAATTAGTATCTAAAGATTGTGTAAGAAAGAGAAATACACAGATTAACATTCCTATACAATTACATCAAATTGTTAAATTTTATTAATGGTAAATTATTAAATTTCATTCAAAAAAGAAAAAAATTCAAAAGTTATAAATCATAATTAGTTACATATTCTCAGTGTTTTCCCCAGAAAAAAATTTTCAGTTGTTAACATACAATGTTAACTGAATGCTTTGCAAATTTCCTTATGACACTCAACAGTATGCTAATCTATAGTTCTATTATTTTTAAAATAGAATAAAAATATTTTTAGCTGGTTAAATCAACCAGTTAAAACAAACTTGGAGAGAACACTAATACTTTATTAAATATTGCTATTACTTAATGATTAATAGCAAATATTTCTTATAAAGTATACTTTTCAAATCAAAATACAACTGGTTGCAGTTTGCAGTATTAATTTTAAATGCAGTTATGTTACTTGCTTTGAAATGCAGATAATATTGCATTATTAAATTAGATAATATTATCTATCCAATAGGTTTTATTGCATTAACATTCATAAAACATAGGCTAATTTATAAAAGCTAATACAATAAATGATCAATGTAACATGAACCAACATCTCTATGTCTATGGGATGCCCATCTTTACTTACATTGATCATTTACTGTATTACTTTTATATATTCTTTATGCATTTTTGTATATATAGGCTGATTTAGATAATATTTTCCATTTTTGTAAAGAATATCATCAAAACCTAATTTTATATCTACATAAACTTCTATATTTGAAATGAAAAGAATTTAAGACAAAGTTGCTTAATAAGTCTTATGTTAAGAAATGTTTCTAGTTTGTTAAAATAGTAAACTTTATAAATTTTCCTACCTTCTCAGAATGACGACAAAAACTAAACACATTGGTGAAGCAGAATGCACCTATTCTCAAACTTTCAAAACCAAAAAAGCTAACGCAATTAAGCAGAATGTTGAAAAGCAGTCAAAGAGTCCTTTTCAAATAAGATTAAAAATTAAATTTGTAAAATTTGTTATAATTCCTGATAATGCCTGAATTGTCAAAAATTCAGATATTATAATTTATATATTGTTACATAACAATTTACATTTTAATGTAAAAGCTTTAAATCTATTAGAAAATATTCTTTCAATTGAACAATAAATTACAAGTCTGACTTTTAAAATGAGAACCATCATATTATTTATTAAATTTTATTTTTAAAATAGCTAGTTTAAAATGTGTACATTATTATATTTTAATTTTTAAAATTTTTTGGATGTAGCCATGTTTCCAGATTCATTACAAAATGCTTTATACATTAATTATTGTATAAACAAAATTCTAGAAAAACAAATATTGAAAATTTTATCTGTCACATCTATTTTACATTAAAATTATATTGTGCCAAACAAGCAGGATAACTGTTTAAATTTATTTTCCATGCTATACCATAACAAGTTTCCAGAACATGTTTTTGAATTCTGCCATGGGGGCATATGTCTTGGCAGCCATTAAGATACTGCTAGTTGTTAATATAGGTCTGCAATTTTTAATTTTCCATTGGCAACATATTTTATAAAACCAGTTCTGGAAGATATTGTGCAGTGGTTGGTTGTCATAATAGCCAGAGAATACTTCATAAGTGGTTTGAAGCTGTATGCTATGTATATGAAAACATGATGCATTAAGATTGTCCATGTATTCAACTGTTGCAGTTAATTAATCATTCATTTCCACTTGATAAAAAATTTTTTTATCAATCAATCAAGCATTATTATTTGATATAACAGGAGTTAATACAAAGAGGGGTTAAATAACATTGTTACATTATATAAATTTTTTGTTCATATATCAACTTTAATGTTAACATGGAAAAACTGTCACAGAATAAAATTTGATAGCAAAAATCAGATGTCAGTGTAGGTACTTGGATATCTGAAATAATATTAAGAGAATCAAGAAGTTGTTTTCTCATATTTATCACCGTCATTTCACAAAAAGAACACTCAGCATCATACAAAACATTAATTATTTTACTTTTTAAGTTTATCAAAAACCTATTTAATCTAAACTGTGTAGCAAATGACTATTTTGTAACTCAAATTAGATAATAAATATAATACTGGAGTTCACATTCTGTTAAGAAGTTCCAGAGTCCCAACCCCTTTCACTCAAACACTGAACATCTTGTGACCAATATAAGTCTTAGTTCAGAAGAAATGAACTTTCATTTAAAAAATATGTATAGCTAGAGAAGGACAGTCCAATATTACTTAATAGTTCTTTAACTCTAACAGATCATGGCTTCAAAAAATAATTATTATTAATTGATGAAAGTTTTGTATATATCAATTTTTGATAATCATCTTCTGTACTGATAATTCAATAAGTTTCTGAAACAAATTTATCAATAAAATAATAGTGAGGGAGTCTTCCCAATTCCATTCTCAGTACAGGTCCTAAGACAGATATTAATATAGTACACCTTCTTAAAGTAGAACAATTGTAGTCCCATGATGAAAATTTAAGAAGAGAATTGGTAACCAGCTAGATATGCATGTACAGTACATCCAGTTAGATGAATAAGTTTGCCATCATTAAATGCACAAGTCCATATAGAATGACAACTTGCAGATAGGATTTGTGATGGCTCTACATTTGTCTTAAGGACACAAATAAAATTTTGTGACAATTTATTAATTAAAATTTCACCTACTTTATCACTTAAAAATAATTATAAGGATCACAACTCCTATAATTAATAATTTCTTGGTAATCATAGGCTTTACTTTTAATAAGACATTCAAATATAGCTTGAGTCCAAAGTGGCATTCTCTCATGTCATTATTTCACAATTTTATAGTACTAATTGATGAAAATAAATTAGAAAATATAGGTTTGTACAAGAAATTATGCAAAAATCCAAAAATTTTGCATTAGACTTAATTTATGATATTCTGTAAATATTTTGGAATTAAATAGAGATCTAAATATTTCCTCATAGATAACAGTTAAATATTAGTAAAATTACAGAAGCCAATTTTGCCAATTATTTTCTTGAAATAAAGATTAAGATTTTTTAAATTTTACTTTAATTTTTATCACTTTTAAAAAGATGTCCTCACCATGCATGTAGCATGCTTTTTCTTAACATTAGAAAAAATTTAAACTTGTATAAAAATGATTGAAAATATTCTCTTTATAAATTAAAATATAAAAACCCTTACAATTATTAAGAAAGTGAACATTATGAATGAATTTCTATTAGTCGTTTCAAAATCAATTATATTGTCAAGTCTATAGTTCTACAGTTTTTGCAATATCTTAATGGTGGTGTGACAATTGCACAACAGTATGGGAAAAATACACGAATCTCCTCTGGAAACTTGTGGATATGACAAAATGAAAAAATTAGTTGCATTATACTAGCATGTACTCATACTTGCATCACACAAGTATGAATATATGCCAGTATAATTCCATTTTCTATTTAAGTGAAAAATTAATAAAGAAATTGTGCATTCTCATCAAAATATTGACACTTCACAGGTTAATGACCACTATCAGTTTTTAAAGATTTTCAATTCCCAAACAATTCCATATGATCAAACTATATAACATTACATAGTACAGTTGACTAAAACTACCTCTATATAATGGAATAATAATTATGCCAAACAATTTTTTATCTATTATAATTTAATTTGAAGATTTTTAGGAAGGTAGATGATGAATAAAGTCAAAAGAAACAATATATCAGCAAATAATCTCAATTAAAATGTCTGATCTTAAAAAGACCTACTACATCATATTATATTTATTGCATTGAACTGATATACAAAAATTAAGACTAATTCAGATTAATTTATAAATAATCGGTTGATTTAAATTATTGTTGCATTTATCATAATTTAAATAATAACAAATGTCTTTCATTTTTGAATTATTTCAACTTAAGATACTTCTCATTTTAAAGTCAGGCCTGCATTAAAAATTTTCTACAAATAATACTTTTCCTAACTAAGAGCAATTTATTACCAAAATGAAGAAAAAAAATATATCATTTTAAAAAGTCACACTTCGTCTTAAAAATTTTCAAAATTAAAATATTTCAGACTTAAAAATGAAAGAATATTTCTATTATATTCATTTTTGGCATCAGTGATCATAACAGACATTAACTAAAATCAATAATCATTAATTTTTCATAATTAACAAAAATTTTTAAATAATAAAATAAATTTCTTATAGTTTAGAATTTTAATGTAATTTAGTTCATTGATATTTACTACTATTGAAAATTATAAATTTCTTTATTCTTTCTTTTCATCTGGACAGAAAAGATCATTTTGCATGGTTTCAGCTTTTATTAAATTATGTAAATCATGAAAAGTTTCTTAAAATCAATAAATTACACTCATCCTAGACTCTTCAAAGTCACTAGTAATGACAGTCATTGTTATCAATGTGTAAATTTTAAATAAATAATTCAACTAGAATAATTTTGATATATAAAAAAACTTTATACACACTACTTTATTATTACTACTATCCTAGATTTTTCATAATAATAAATTTGTTATAAAATGAAATTTTAAGTCTATGTTTCATTTAATAACCAAAACTAATGTAAAAATAATGACTTAAAAATGAGAATTGAAAAAATTGAGATATGCATACTGCATACATCCATCACAAACACACACACCCACACACAAATACAAATATTCTATGAAATATTCAGAATAATATGAAATTCAGAATATGAAATTCTACGAAATTCAGAATAATATACAGTAAAATCTCATTATTTCAAAACTCAAGAAACCAAAACTAAAAGTAAACATGACTTTGAATTATCCAAACTTTAAATCAAATATTTTTGTAATTCTCAAATAAAATATGACATTATCTTATGTGATTTCAACCATTTGGTTACAAATGCATTATCATCATGAGATATTATTTAATAATTTAAGCTATTTCAGGAAAGCTATCAGTTGACATATACTTAATGAAAATGTTGCCAAACTATTATACATTCAAAGCAAGACCTGAAAACAACATATGAAAGAAATTATCTACACACTGATGTTTAGAACTGATAGGAATGTCATAGCACAATGAATATTAGTTCCCTCAGTTTTCATAATAATAAATTTGTTATAAAATCAAATTTTATAACAAATTGATGGAAGGATGCATGAAAATAAAACATGAAATCAAACACTAATTTCCCCGATTTCATAATAATTTGCATCATTTTGGCAAAAAGCTAGTATTTACTGCCAAAAACTGATTTTCTAAAATAAACTCTATAAAAAACTTAACAGTGAACTTTTTTACAGAAAAAAAGATGATTGAAATGACATTTGCATAAATTTGTTAATTAATAAAATAAATAAATAAAGTAATCCAATTTAACTTGTTCCATTTTTCATATGGTTTATGTACTTTTTTCATATTTGTCCATTGCAAATGCTGGACTATCATCCTCATATAAATGCTTACATAACTACCTTTTTCACAGCAGAAACTGAAGAAAATGCCTCTCTACATGCAACATGTGTTTTTTTCAATGGTTTTCATGCAAACAAGCTCTATTAATGGCTAAAGCTATGAATTCTATCGTAAGATATGCATGATATTTAATTGACTTTGGAATTATTGAAACAATAGATTTTTGTGAAAAATGTCTAAAATAATTAAATGCCAAACAATTATCTTCCATAAAAATAAAAAAAAAATAAACTCTCTTCATTGGCAATGCTGTACAATGTCTGAATTACCTTGAATAGATGACCAATAAATCAACATTTTATAATTGGTACAACCAAAACAAAAGCTGCTTGGGCATGAAACTTTCCTTATAAACATGTAATATGATCGGATATTACAAATTAAATGATATTTTGTAAGTCATCAGATAATGACTTTGAATTTCATTGAGGATTTCAAATTATCCAAACTAAAATATATGCAAGATCCTATTCTCTTGCCTGGGACTAGACTTCAAATTATATGATACTTCAAATTATCTGATATCAAAATAATAAGGCTTTACTGTATTTCAGAAAAAATACACACATTTATAAGACTCATAATTAAGATTTTTTGGAATGTTACATATATTTATAAAATTTTATAAATTCAACATTAACAATAAAAATGCAATTGTTTACTATGAAATAAATATTTATTATTCTAATATTTTCAGTTTTCTTAAAACAACCTTCATCAGGTGATATTTGAATTTTACAATCTAAAAAGACCGAAAATGTTTGAATAATAAATATTTATTTCATAGTGAATGTTTGCATTTTTGTTGTTAATGCTAGTGCAGTTAAAAATGTTGAATTTAAATCTGTATGAAGTTTTTTGTAATCTATTAATTTGTAAATCTTAATGCATTGCTTTGCTAATCATTAAGTTTAGGATATCATTTATATTTGTTAAAATTCTTATGTATTTTGATTTATACAAAGATAATTTTACTCTCTACTACAACATGAAATTTCTCTAATATGAAAAGAAGTTTTGTGATCCAATTATCAGAATTTAAGTATTTTATTATAAATTAATTTCTTCAATTAATAATAAATCTGCCAAATAGATTAGAAGAAATGAAAACTGATCTGTTATTTAAAAAAAAATCTACTTACTTAACATTGGCATCTTTGCCTGTAAAGATTCGTAAAAGAAATTCATTTTCTTCTCCTGGATTAAATGTAGTTGGGATGACAACATATCGACCTCTATGAAGTGTTAATCTTTTAAATACTCCTCTTGTTCGAATATAATCAGAATTTTCTATTACATTTTGTATCTTATGAACTTTATACTTTCTATTTGATTCCACCTTTTAATTAAAAATTAAAATAAAGTTGATTATTAAAAAATGTACTATAAACTATATTTCTAAAAAAACAGATGTTTATTCCCAGAACTGTTAAAATTTCAATAATGATTTTCATATATACAAATAAAGGGTTCTCAAAGAAACAGGAAATTTTGGAAGAAAGATCTACTTAGGAGAAAAAAATATTTTTAATACGAGGGCTGTTTTTTTTCAACCTCCGATGGTCCATAGAACAAAGACAAGTGTAAATAACAAAATGAATTTATTACCAAAAGTTAGGTACAAACATGGTTACTTTTTGACATAATCACTGTGAAGATTGAGGAATTTGTCATATCTGTGGAAGAGCTTTTCCATCCCCTTGTCATACAATGTTGCCACCAGTGAATTGAGATGGCCTTAACAATGTTGTTTTGAAGATCATCATTAGTTCATAAGTCTCAAACCTCTGCCCTGCTAGCCACATTTTCAGTTCAGGAAAGAGGTGGAAGTCTTCACACATTAAAAAGTTTTAAAGGTGATGAAGACTTCCACCCAGCTTAAACACCCAGTGTATAGCCCCGATTTAGTGCCGAGTGACTTCCACCTCTTTCCTGAACAGGAAAAGTGGCTAGGAGGGCAGGGGTTCGAGACTAATGACAATCTTCAAAAAAACTTTAGGGTCCATCTCAAGTTATTGACGGCAACATTCTATGACAAGGGGATGGAAAAGCTCATCCACAGATATGATAATCACTGTGAAGATTGAGGCATTTATGTCGAAAAGTAACCATGTTTGTACCTAACTTTTGGTAATAAATTCATTTTGTTATTTACACTTGTTTTTTTTTATGGACCATCAAAACTTGGAAAAAAAACAGTCTACGTACATTTATTCAGAACAACTAATAGCACAGAGTATATCATTGATAAATTGCAAACCAATACTTGTTTAAGATGATGACATCATGTAGGCAACCCTCATCTCTGCAGACATTCTTGCTGCCTCTTGGAAACATTTTGCATGCTTGAATATAACATTTCAATAGGAATGTTGGAAATTTCCTTTTGGTAAATTCAGTTCAACATTGTACGATGTTCAACTGAATGATGCTTCTTGTGACAGCTCTAACAGCGTCAATATTGTCTGTCATGTAAACAAAACAGTTTATGTAAAACCTGCAGGTTTCTTTTTTCAGAGCTGAACCTGTTTCCACACAATTATGAACCCACATGTTAACAGCATGTACTGATAGAATACGATTATGACATCCTAAATTGAAGTGACTTTGAAATTCTCTACACACAGCCTTCACACTGTCATTGTTTTTGTAAAATGCTTTGACTGCAGCACACAATGAATATCCCTCCACTGTTCCATGACAACTAAATGGCAAGATATTGTAAGCAGCACCACCAACCTCCCAGGGGTGCCACTACACTTTTCAAAATTTCTTGTCTCTGAGACACCCTGAATGAATGATTTTTTTTAAAGTTACCTTTAAAATAGAAAATCCTATTGTACAATTTTTAATATTATCTTTCTTCATATTTCTCTTGTCTTTCTGAAGAAGATATATCATAATTGAATCCATTTCACCAGTTATATCAAAACGATACTAAAAATATACATACATATGACAGTCAATTAACTTTAAACTGTAAATAAGAAATTTATTTAAATTTCACTAGATTATGAATAATATATTCAAAACTTAATCTAATTTAAAATAATTATTTACATGGTCTTGAGTATCAAGTAAAATACAATTTCAGAAATTATAAATACTTTAAAATACTTCATATTTAATATCCTTTTTTTTGGATTATTCAATGATGTATAGGATATAATGATGCATCAAATAATAAAGCAATTTCAAATTATAAAATCTATAAAACAAATTATTTCATTACTTTCACTTAATATCAAATTAAATTTTCTTAACCTATTTATAGAATGATAAATTCAATAAATAGATTTTGTAGATTATGAAACTATATAAAATTTAGTCTATCATCAATTAATCTAAGGACACAGTATTTACATCAATTTGATCATTGACTTATTTAAATTACTATAATGTGTTTTGATCAATTTTCTTGCCTGTTATCATTTTATTCTTTGTTTACCATTTTATTGGACTGCAATTTCCAAATTGCAGACCTATACATTCCCACTGTTATCCATCTAGCCACCTATCCATCAAGCCTTCATTAATCTCAAGAACAGAGAGAAATGAAAATAGAGATCAAGTATGGAAAGCTTGGGGACTGGAGGCCCCAATTAAGTATATGTGAACTTCCAGTCTGGATTGGAAGTCACGTTATTTCAATTCAAAAGTTTCTCAAAAATAGAATTAGATATATGAAAATCAAGATCAGATATGGAAAGCTTATTATTAAAATATGATTAAAAATTGCAGCCTGTCATTGTAATGATACCACAATAATTTCTCATTTAAACAATTTTTAAATTTTATTAATGATCAAATGGCCAAAGGTAATTGAGGCATCAGTCTACAACTCTGGGGAATGCAGGATCAAATCCAGATTAGAAACCCTAGAATTTTTCTTTAGATGGTCTGTTAGATATGTTAGGTCCTGTTCCTCACCTCCTAACTACCCCCAATGTACTGTACACCTGGCCAAACCCATAATGGATATAAAGGAAAAATGAAGAGCCCCTCTTAGTGCCCACAAAACAAAGAGAAAAAGAAAAATTTTATCATCAATTATCATTCTTAGACAAAGCATAAATAATAGTGTTCTAATATTCAGTAATAACTCAGTAATTTCATCACTTTTTATGTTTCTTTCCTAGAGGATGTTTATTTTCTCTTATACTTAATATAATTGATGATGAGTTGATACCAAAATTTTTCCCAATTCCAATACTATTCCCAATTCAGATTTTTTAAAATACTTTCTAAAGTTCATTTTAATTTAGAAAAATTAACAATTTACATTACACGCACGGTACATTCATTAATTAATAAACATCAAGCTTAAGAATGGAAAATGATTCTGGATTTCCCAATCAATCATTCAAAAGAAACCTGAAAACTCTCCATTTATATGTGGATATGCATGCTTTTATTGTGTAGTACAAAATAAATTTGTAATCTTATTTCAGATAAAGTTAATATTGCACTACCCTCAAAGAAATTACAACTATTCTCTGTTACTTAAGAGTTCAAAAAAATGTAATCAAAATTAATGCAAAATTAAATAAATAAAAATTATTAAAAGTGATTAAAAAATAATTAAAACTCTAGCCTTTACACTGAAACCAAAACTTAAAGTAAAATCAAATTAATTAAAATTAAAATCAATTTAAAATTAAAACAATGTTTTTGAAAACTGATTCCAATTATCAAGAAAATGCCTGATTTTTCCAATTCTGATTAATCATCCTATCACTAAATATAACAGATACATAATCAAAATCACACTGTTTAAATGTACAGTACCTTTATCAACAAATTAGAGATTTTTAAAAATTATTATTAAAATATCCAATAAAAAACTTAAAGCCATAAGCTATTGATTTGGATTCATTTCTTAAAGTCATAAACACAGAAATTAATATGTATCAGTTTTATTTTAAATTAAAATTAAGAACAAAAGAATTTTTCTTTGCAAATGAAATATGAAAATAAAATGTAGAAAAACAACAAAATTTCTCAGAACATTAACTATTTTACACAATAAATTCCTCAGATAAAAAAATGTAATCTATTGAATTACATGTAAATATGAAAATTTAAAAATCTTTCACTAGATTATGAGAACTATCATATTCTGTGATATTTAACATATGTATTATTGGGCTACAATTTGAAAAATTTTAAACTATAAATTCCCTCTGTTGTCCATCTATCTTTCCTTAATCTCTAGAACAGAGTTAGATAGATGAAAGATGAGACTAGATATGGAAACCTTAGGGGCAGGAGGCCTCAATTAACTATATGTGAACCTCCAAAGCAAATCAGAAGTCAAGTTATTTCAATTCAAAATTTTTCTCCTGAAATTAGTTAATAGATGACTGATATTTTTCTTTGTAGAAAAGGGCTGGCAGAATTACAATTTAATAAAAAGTAAAATACATGTGGATACAAGTTCAATTTTGCTTGCCATGTCCAATCACCAGGAACAACTATTTCCATTACAGAGACAACCTTTCTTTAGAGGGTATGCCTCTGCACAAATACAATGAAATATTATATTTTTAATTGTGTTGGGATTGTCACCTGAGGACATTTTAAACTGTTTTGCATATTTTTGCAGAGGCATAGTCTCTAAAGAAAGGTTGTCTCTGCAATGGAATTAGTTGTTCCTGGTGATTGGACATTGGAAGCAAAATTGGACTCGTATCCAGATGTATTTTACTTTTTATTAAAATAATATTTTTCTGTTAGCAATGGAGTCATATGATGTACAGGGGCAAGACACTACTAATTTGAGGTGGAAAGCATATATTTTAAATGAAATAAATTAAAAATATGATTAAAAATTGCAGCCCAGCATTGTGACGTCGTCACAATAAATAATTGCTTGTTTACTTGTATAAATGAAAACCAATTAATTTAAAAGAAAATATATAAAATGTTAGTATCACAGAAATACTGAATTTTTCATTATCTTGATACTCTAACTGTAAAAGTTAACTTAAAAATAAACAAAATTTTTCAAACAGATTACATGTTTCCATACTTAAATTAACTGAATTTCAGAAAAATTAAAAGTTATTTGTTTATCCATATTGCACAATGAAACACATTTGATAGACACCAGGCTTTACTTTACATCTGTCTTTATCTTGCTGTTTAGGTGCCAATAAATGTTTCAGGTGCTTGTCCCCCCTCTTCTGTCGAAAGAGAGGTATGTGGCCAAAATGCTTGAAATCAAATATGCTTCATTGTGCAATACAGATAAAAATAGATAAAAGAAACAATTTCAAATTGGAAGAAAAGTTGTTTGTGTATTCATACATGTTTATAATATCAATAAACCTCAAATTATAACTATTTTCTTGATTATTGACAGTTTTATTTAAAGATTCAGACTTCAACTAATTTTTAATTATATCAAGTTGCTAGTGTTTGCCCAAGTCAGCTTCATTTATAAACAATAAATTAATTAACAATAATTATACATAATACACAAAACTCAAGATACTTCAGTTTTTAATTTAAGGCATCTGAAGTGTATAAGACAAATATAACATTACAGGAAATCCTTATTAGTATGAGAACAGGGGATTCCAAGTTAACCCCCTTTTCCACATACAGGATGGTAAAATTATAAGAGAAGATTCGTAAAACTCTTTGTCAGTCCTGACACCAGTTAGGATAAACTAATCGCATCTTAACTCAACTAAATTTATCTTATCTTCTGAATGGCTGAAGATATACTAATAACTTGACCAGAATTTTTGAAGGATTTATTAAATACAAAAATTATTACATGGTTTGTGGATCAACGGAGTTAGACATAAAATCGAATGACAACTACGATACATAAAAATATATCTAGCTATTTATTAAAACATAACTATAATTATCATTTACACATAAAAGGAGTATGTTAAATAAAACTAAAAACAAAATTAATAGTATTGATATGAATACAAATGAGAGGACTTCTAATCTAACCCTTAAACTAATCTGGCAAGAGATAGTTTACATGACAATAATATCATATTACCTGATGTTCACATATGTCTGAGGTGGAGAGTTGAAAGTTCTTGGAACTCAGAGGTTGGAGAACTGGGAGAGGGATGACTAAAGCATTGGATGCTCAGCAAGGAAACCAAAACAAGAATGCTGGATAAAACCTTGATCACTACATAAGAGTATCAAAACGAGAGCAAGTTGGAAGTGACCTTTCACTTTTTATACTAATCTTCATCCAATACAATCATTGGAATATCATGCCACACTTCCAACATCAGGAGGAAGTCTGGCAGTCTTGCTGATAGACAAGTGAGACATTGCATTTGAACTATTATTTTAGGAGGAACTAAACTGTTTTTCTCAATGAGTCAGAGGAAGTGCTTCCTTTTACAAACACAGATAATTTTTCTATCAAGTTTAATTTGATATAATTTTAAAACTCCTTAAACTCCAGATTCTCACGTTAGCTTCAAATTAAGGAGACAAAATATTTGCAACTTCGTATTATCGAATTTCAAATTACCTGAGATTTAAATATTTCTGTATATGACAAATACCATGCAACTGATATAATTTATTAGCCAAACAGAATACAACTACTTATATAGAATGCTATTTTTGTTAATTAATAATAATGTGAACTGCTGGGGAGGTCGTAGGTCTCCCGTTCCGGTGACAGTCAAGTTGACAAGTCAGGCGAGTGGAGGGAGAGGTTTTTGGGGTCAATAATAAGGTGAAGGGCATATACGAGTAAAGAAGTCTACCATTTTAACAAGTATAAAACAAGAATTTATTAAAATAATCAAAATGGACAAAACTACTACACAAATCTCGTTCCTAAACTGTCTAACAGCTCGAGAGAGTTTACACGCTTTCATACCTCTTTGTATGATTCCTTGATGGTTAAGTCCTTGTACACACTTAAAATGTCCAAGAAAAGGTGT